GCTGACGTCCCTGCGCTCCCTCCGTGAGCTGCATCTCCACACTCTGCCGATGCTGGCCGTGCTGGACGTCGGGGGGATCCTCGAGGGTCTTCCGGGGATGGAGGTCGTGGACATTGAGCTGACCAGCAAGGAGGTTCATGACCAGCTCCATCCTGCCTTTTACCCGCGTCTCAGGAGCCTCACCGTCCGTGGCCGCTCGGTGGAGGCGCTCTCTGCCGGGGCCTTCGCTGGCATCAACAGCCCTGAGCTCACCATCGGCATCGTCAACACCAGCGTCAGCAACCTGGGCTCCAACATCTTCTTCCCCGTGCCGATGTCGTCGAAGATCTCCCTCGATGTGTCCCACTCTGGCATCACGTCACTGAGTCCGCAGTTCCTGAACACGCTGGACTCCCGGCAGCGCCACCTGGAGCTCGAAGGCCTCACGTCCAACCCGATCTTCTGCGACTGCAATAACCGAGTCCCTCCGGCCGCTGGCTGGTCGAGCGCGGACCCAGTGACGCCCGTCTACAACCGCCTCCTGCTCGGGCCGCCGTCCCTTGAGGGGGTCGTCCTCACGCACGCTCAAGGAGGAGGACCTCACGTGTCAGGGCCGCCCCACCACCACCACCACCGACCTCCCACTCTTCACCACGACGCGCCGACGACCCACGACCACCGACAACATCATCACCTTCGAGGACATGACGGGGCGCCCGAATGACAGGCACAACGAGATCGACGGCAAGCTGAGCAAGCCCGCGCGCGCCGGCGGCCTCACCAACATGGACCACCGTCATTCATCGGCATCGTGGGCGGCGTCGTGGCCTTCGTGGCGCTGCTCATCATCATCATCTGCCTCATCAGACTCCGCTCGGACGCGCAGTACCGCGGCGGCCCCTGCGGGACCGCTGGCATGCGGCAGCAACGCAACTGCACCTGCCTCAAGCCCCCGCACCTTCCTAGCAGCTGGGGGGGCTACCCTGGACCCTACCCCACCCTTCCGCCTCCCCCCTCCTCGCGGCCGGCACCCTCAAGATGATGCCCCCGCCCACCACGCCCATCCCGCCCGCCTACGGCACGGTAGGCGCGCACAGCGGACGCAGCTACTACCCAGCCAACAACCCCTACTACATGGGCTACCCTCCCGAGAGCGAACACGACCACCGATAGTCGTTCCTCGCCGGCCTAGACGACAACGATTACTGTGCCTGATGCCGCCGCGGCCCCGTGCTCGCGGCGGACGTCTCCTCCTCGACGAAATAAGTTTTTTTTTTGCCCTGCGACGAAGACCTCCTTCTCCTTAACCTCGGGGATGAAGGAAGACAAACGGAAGACCAAATCTCTTTGAAACGACGAAGAAAAGGAAAGTGGAATAAGTGCAGAAAGAATAAATAGACAACGAAAGATGAAGGAATACTCTCACAAAAAAGAAAAAAGAGAAAACAAAAGAACACGAATCTGACCTAGATCGGTTGGTACAATGGCCTTGTTCAGGGAAGACTCCTGCGGTCTCCCTCACTTCCTTTTCCTCAAGACGTTTCTCTCCATTCTTTATAGATTCTCCATGGTTATCAAAACGGGGCAAAATCTCTTGTATATATTTAATGTTAGTGTTAATGTTTCTTCTTATTTAGAGTTATAGTTAACTTTTTTATATATAGATAAAGTATATAAATATATGCGTGCGTGTATCAGGTTGTAGAGATGTGCCTAAGATGCGGTTCATTGTTATAGTATGGTATTGCTATTATTGCAAATATTTCCCCCCAAAATATACCGCGCTCGCACAGATTGTTTTTGTTTATCTCCGTGTGCAATTGCGATGATGCGTAAGACGTTTGTGAGTGAGAGACGTGTTCATTCATGAATATTTCTGCTTAAGTGAATGGGAACGAGATTTCATTCGTGAATATTTCTGACGTATGTAAGAGAAACGAGCTTTCATTCATAAAGATTTCAGATGTTATGAATGGGAACAGAGTTTCATTCATAATTATTTCTGACACTGTGACGTCGGGACTTCAGTTTCATTCGTAAATATTTCAAACGTTGTGAATGGAAACCGGGTCCCGTGCACAAACATTTCTGAATGACGCAAAGTGTGAAGGAGAAATGCTAATCACTAGCTTGTAAATACAGTAAGTGGGAGTCGGTGGTGCTGTGTGCATGTTGTGTTGTACATCAGAACAAGGTGTAATTTTTTCTTTTTTTAAATTTTTTTTGTTTTCGTTTTTAACGTTGCAATACTCCGTAGTACAAAACTAAAAGGAACTGAACAAAGGCATGAAGAATAAGGAGAACATGCATAAGACGAAGAAAATTGAAACGACCTGAATCATATCAATACCAAGGAAAATACGAAACATAAGGAGCATGAAACCACTAAAAACGTTTAAATCATTAACATTATTTATTATGAAAATTAAAGGTATTCCCATACTAACCTATTTATTTAAATTATTAATATAAGAAAAAAGTATAGTTATAAACCACAATACTATTTCTCTCGCTTTTTTTT